AACAGAAAAATTGTCAGCACTGCACCAGGTTGTTTAGAGACGTTTTGGAAGCTGCAGCACTGGGAGTTTTTAAGAATATACTCAGTGTATGAGACAAACTTTCATACAAGTCCAAGAGTTGAATTTGCTCCACAATATCTTTTAGCTGCATAAAGACAGCTGACTTTAGAATCATAGAATCATAGAATGTCTGAAGTTGGAATGGACCTCTAAAGGCCATCTAGTCCAACCCCCCTACAATAAGCAGGGACATCTCACACTAGAACAGATTGCTCAGAGCCCCATCAGGCCTGACCTTGAATGTCTCCAGGGATGGGGCCTCCACCACCTCCCTAGGCAACACATTCCAGTGATCCACCAACCTCATATTAAAGAACTTTTTCCTAATGTCCAACCTAAATCTACCCTTCTCTAGCTTAAAACCATTACCCCTTTTCCTGTTGCTACAGGAAGTCTTCCCCAGCCTTCTTAAGCTCCTTTCAGGTATTGGAAGGTCGCTGCAAGGTCCTCTCCAGAGTCTTATCTCTGTTTCAGCCTTTAATGGTTAGGAAATACAAATAACTGAACTGAACTAAACTGAAAAGATTCAGGCTAAGAAAATGGGGAAGGGAAGGAAAATTCCTTTTAACATGGATTCAGTAGAAGAAGATGAGGTAAAGCAGGGCAGTTAACATCTCAGGAGTATGATTAGAGGACCAAGAGTTGTGAAAAACTAAATGAACAACATTTTTAAACAGAAAGCAGGCTTTTTTCCCTTTTTTTTCCTTCTTTTTTTCTTTTTTCTTTTTTTGCTGGTAACTTGTCACCTGAAATTTAAAAAAAAAACAATTATTACCTCTTTGGACTGATTAGAGAATGTTTGAATGTTTTGGGCTATGAGATGGGGTTTTAAAAGATGTTTTTCTGACATGCTGACATTTCTGGCTGATATCCAGATGCTGTGGGACTTGAGGTTCTGCTGTCATTCATAATGAGCATCTCTGAACTGGAGGCTTGCTGTTCAGAAGCAGACAGCTAACAGAGCTGGGGTGGCAGACAAGCTTGTCTGCTTGTGATAATTTCCTATTGCTAACCAGCTTCCCATATTTGTGTGTGAGGACAAGGTGACACTGACTGCAGTCTGAGTTCAAGAGAGAAAGCATGAGGAAGACTTCTCTAGCTTGTCCAGTCTTCACTTATCCCCTTCAGCTGTGGCTATCCAAAGTATGGTGTTTTATCACATCTTTTACAGACTCATTGTATCATATCTGCAGACATGTCAAAACTGTGAAAGTCGCAGTAGCAGCAACTTATCCATGGCTGCTTCATTGCTGTTTCTTCCCAATAGTATATACTTTGAAATTACACATGCTTCTTTAAAGGGTTTTCAACTGAACTTTAAATAAAAATACCAAATATGGGTCAATTTTTTAAATATAAAATTAGTTAAAAGAATTCAACATCGACAGAGCAGCGATTGTGTGAAAGAAATAAAACTCTTTTGGCAGATTATTAAACACCATACATTTTCACAGTTGATTAGCATAATGTAATATAGTGCAGGTGTTTGTTACACCTGTATGCAAAAATTCTCAGGTTCAGTGTCAGCAGCCTGTGGGCTGATCCTGTCATCACCACCATGGTGCAGTGGCCTAGTGTTAGAATTCTGAAGTGTTATATTAGGCAATGTTAGGCATATGGATAATTGAGTAATCTTCAAAACCAATGAAATTCTTTTATTTCTAAAGTATATTTCTTCAGTATTTTGGTCAGTTGTTTTCCTTTGTTTCCAGTTCATGAAGGGTAACAATTGCTGCAGCTCATATGATTGAACTCCATCAGATTTCTTAGTAGTTTTGGTGCTGGGCAAATCCAATGACCAGTCATCACTAAAATTTGTGAGATGAAAATAAGAAAGTTGTTTTATGGGCTTATTTTAAGTGTTAATAGTAAAAGTGTATTCAGGTATTTGCCTATTAAAAATATCTCAGATGCACTATTATTTAATTTCATAAAGTGGTTGCAATAGTAATCTACCACACAAAGAAAGAAATGTTAAAATACCTTGAATAATAATATTTTTTACAGAAAGCCCTCTCTGAAGTAATTAATTCTTACTGAACTCTTAAAAGGTATCTGAATATGTAAGGTTATTTCCAGTATACACAGCAAGAGTTAGGGATCACAGACTCCTAGCTGCAAAGAAGCTACTAGCAAGAGCTTTCTGAATCCAGATAGCAATCCGATGTTAGTTAGCTTTCTTACATTTATTCTTATTTTCTAGCCACTACACAGCAGTTCTCTCTTCCAGTTCACCTCAGCTTCAGGCAGAACTACTAACACATACTGATGAGTTTTTAATGAAGCATTTTTATAGTTTTCTTTCTACATTTTGAAAGTGTCTGACATTTTTTATGTCATGGCATAATATTAAATCAATAGGACTTTACAGATGATACTTGATAATAGGATCTTACCTCACAGAGCTTACATTTTTTACTAGTGTTTATAGTATTGGTTTGAGGTGTTTCACATAACGTTACCCTGGGCAACAGTTAGGAGAGATTTAAAAATTTGACTTATGTGGCTGTGCACTCTAATATAACAGATGATTTTACCATTACTATCTGTATGTCCTTTTTTTTAAAAATAATTTTCACACATTTCCAAAATTATATTCCTTTTGGAGAGCATTCTTGTGGCTGTCAGGCTTTGCCTGTGAAATCCCCCAGAGCAGGAGTCCTAGCTGGATGGGTGGCAATGTTTAATAAACCTTTAACCTTTTTTTTTTTTTGTGCAGGGAGTTTGGGGGACAGGGAAGCTCACCATGAACTCCTACAGGGATGTTTAATCCAAAATAAATCGCTCTTCAAACCTGGCCATTTCACAGACATGTAAACACCTGTCCAGGAAGTTTGGGTCTTACAGGGGCTTCTGCAGATGTGGAACTGTCAAGAGAGTTTAGTTTATGTTTCTAACAGAGGTGACCAGAAGAAGGCAAGGGGATTCAAACATAATCAAGTCTCTGCTGGAATCAGCATGATGTACTTTGCTTTAGTATTGTCTTCTCTTTTTCTTTTCAACAGCTGTTCTGTGTGTTAGTCTTTCAATGAAATAGGGATCCCTAAACTCCCTTTTTTTTTTTTTTCTTTAATTTTTTCTCCTTTTTCCTATTTTAAAATAATTTAACCTTCTCAATCCACTCAGTGAATATGCTATGCACCATAACATGTGGTGGTCACCTGTTGATAATGTTTGTTATGTAAAAAAGAGATTTCAATCCATGTTTTAGGGTCATGGACACACTTCACCTTTCAGTGTCAGTAACATGCTGCTCTCAGAAGGTGACAAATGTACCTAGGAACATTTTTCTTATATTAACCTGTGGTAATCAGAGAACATTCTCCTGAATTAGCTTATAAACACTGACTACATGTTGATTCATAAGTGCCTGTGGGAGAATGCCTTTGGAAACTTTTGAAAAATTCAGGCTCTAAAAGACATCTTTGGCATCTAAAAGAAGAAAAGACCTTTCATATTCTTCATTTAGTGAACTGATGCATTTTTCAAAGACTATTTTGTGTGTTGAATATCAGAATTCATTATATGCTCTATCTTATTATCCCTCATGCTCTACATTTAAAGGATGAAGAAACTGAGGTTGGCAAACAAAGTAATTCTCTAGGATCACAAAAGAAGCTCTTGATGATTGAGTAGAGCAGCAGTCTGGCTGTTAACAGCAGCAGCTGTAAAGTCAGCCAGCTGACTTTACGTGTTGATTTTTCTACAAGTGCAGACTGACCCTATGTGTGGTCAATCTGTGACAGTCATTTGTCCAAGGTAGCCTTTTCTTCATATTTCAGAGGCAGCCTTTCTCCATCAAGGTGACCCATACTAATTTGTTTCTTGCTCATGTGGAATATATCTGACTTAAGATGAGAAATTCTGGTTTTGTTCTTTATTTTTAATTCTGTTTTTATTTTTCTAACAATCATAAAAAACGTTCAGCAATTCAGACATACTCCTATGAGAATCCTGTTCCCAGTCATGAGGTTTTGTCATTGTCCATTGTTGTCTTTCTGAAAGAAATTGGAGCCCTTTGCCTTTTGAGTGTTTTTTGAGTTACGAGTGCTGATCACTGGTTTTGAGACATTTACTGGCAGGCAAACAAAGCAGAGAACTGAGTCTCTCTGTCAAACTTTGTATTTTGGAATTGTGTGACCAGATCATAGTAGAACGTAAGAGACTCTTAATTTGTAGCACATCAGTGCAGTCTTGTAAATTAAGATATTGGCTATGAAAATAATTGCTTGTGTATAAAGAGTATGTGGTACCAGCTTTGTGGTAGCTGAAATATAGGGTAGAGAAAGGGGCTCTGATTTTTTCAAATATCTACGTTCCCGTGTCTCCTTTGTATTTTACTTTATTTAATGTATTTTTATTTTTTTTTTAAACAACTTTCTGCCTGGCATAGCAGGCTTTTCAAGCAATAGAGGTTTTAATCTGAAAAGCTCACCTTAAGACATAGTAATTTCAAGCAGCCACATTTAAGGTCCCTGTAAGGACCCTTATTCTCTTCAGAGCAGGGGATCACCTTACATACCAGGCATTCGAAATGCAACAACACCACTGCCAAAGTGTCTCAACCCTTCTCATGTGTCACATAGCCTTTTTGCTGTCAAATTCCATTGGAGTGCAAACAGTTCAGTCCCTGGTAGGGCTGATGTCACTGAACCAAGTGCATTTAGGATGTGCATTGCTAATTCACTGCATTTGGGAAAATATATATACACATGTATATCCATAAAGGAATGGAACAAAATCAATTTTTGTTTCTAAATAATTGGAATAATTTCTTCTATTTAAGTCAAATATTTTAGAGTATTTTATAAATTAGTTGAGCTGGAGTTGCCAAACTTGGCTGTATATCTGAGCAGTCTGGATGGGAAGCCTTTGCAACTGATATTGTCCTCAAGCAGCTGATCGTCAGAGCATTTCCTTCCCCTACCCAAACCAGCAAAATGACCACATCCAGCAGGCAGAGCTTTTCTATGTCTGTGGTCAACAACTTGGCCAAAATATTTGACCCAAACGCTTTGCAAGACCAAGGGCCTGATAATGGAATGGAACCCCTCCAATTTCTTCATGTTGCAAGTAGTGATGTGAGCACATCTGAAAGTTTTACCATGATGGATATGAAATTTGCCTCCCTTGAACAGAAAATAGACAAGCTTTTGGCTCTACAAGACAGTGTCCTTAAGAAGCTTAACAGTGTTTCCCAAGAAGTCTGTTGCATTGAAAAAGACATTGAGAGTGTAAAGGCAGAAACATCTGAACCTGGATCGAAAATGGGAAGAAACAAAAGTCGGAGGAGTAATGAGATGAAGATAGTTTGCCTTAAAATGGAAAAATCTCTTTCTGTTATAAACAGGAATGCAAAGCAGCAGGTTAAAAGACTTGATGGACTGGAACAAAGCGTTTCTGGATTACAGAAGCTTTTAGGGTCTCTGGTTGAGAATGTTAAAACATTAGTAATTCATGATTCAAGTGTAAAATACCATGTTAAAAAACGTAAACTTTTCAAGGCATGTGATTATAGAAAAGGAGCTGGACAACATTTTAAGATGCACGTATTCTCGGAAACAACAGCTGATGCCCTGCTCAAGAAGAAAAGAGAAAAGGTGAGCCCAGGTTTGTGTTTCGTCTTGTCAGGAATTGTTGCAAGCTATGGATATGTTCTACTGTATACTTGGCTTTTTCATTTTGTTAACATTTAAGAGACAACAATCAATATGCTATAAAAATGAAAAGCAGTAGAACAAATTGAGCAAGTTTCAGATATAAACATATCTGAAGATACAGAAAGCCTTCTGCATGATAAATACCTTCATTTTTTTTTCTAGTGATTTTGTTACAATTGTAAAACAAATGTGGGTGACAAAGATTGACACAGACTTCAGGAGGCCTTCGTTCTGGCTGTGCATTTTGCTATGATCCTCTCTGGATTTAGAATTATCTGGGGGAGTCAAGTTGTAGCAGTCATGCTATATGCAGTGGGGTCTAGAGGTTAGGGAAACTGGTAAAAATCCTTCTTGAGTCAGGGCATGTACGTATGTATGTCCTTTATTTCAAAGAACAACTTAAGTGTGATGTTCTGATCTGGTATTTCTGCTGACATCAGTGATGGGTGGGGACTTCTAAACTGGGATCTGAGGTAGGGTTACTGTAACTGGAGCTGCAGCTTGTGTAAACTTCCTCGGGGGAAAAAAATGCCTGTGTCACCATAACGGGAGTTTTGTCATGTTCTTTACAGGTCTTACTAAAAGACCACAAAAATCTCCTGAAAGGCTCCATTGATTATAATAGGCTCTTGTAAGGCAGTTGGACCATTCTTTGTTTGGTAAAGAAGCCCAGTAACTTTAGAAAATTAAGGAATTTCTTCTGACAAAGAGTGTTGATGTTTAATTAACCTACAGTGAAACAAAAAAAAGTTGTTTTTATATTATTTTCTGTTTTGTGTTACTTTTTTTTCTATTCAAAAAGGTCACAGACAGGCATTAACACTTTGGTACATTTGAAGAGTAATTCTTGAGTTTGTTTTTGTGAAGTTTTTGACCTGGAAAAGCATCATACGAAAGTATTATTGGAAATGTCATTCCTTGAAAAAAAGAAGCGCCCAATATTACTCAGACTGATGTGGTCAGCAAACCAAGTGCTTTTCAGCTTAGTCACTCTTAGGCAGCCCCAATTCTCAGGTAGACAAGGAGCTTTTGAATCATCTTAGGAAACTATAAAAATAGTGGTCAGTGCTGAGGAGCAGCAGAGAAACATCTTGTAAAGAACTGGCTGATCTGCTTCTATGTAAGGATATAGAATGTGCAAACCTATTTTGAGAACATCATTAAATGAAGGGAAAAGTTGCAACCTTGCCAAAGGAGACCAACAACAAGTTGGGTTTTGCAGGCCCTTCTTGAACACCAGTTCTAACTGGTTTCAATAAAGGAGTTTTAACAAAAGATAAGTTTTCTTCCTTTGCACCATTACTTGTTGAGAAAGGATTATTTTGAGCATCTGAGTTTAGGGCTTCTTTTGCTGTTCCAAACATCAAGATGGTGATTAGATATTGGAATGGACTTCCCAGGGAAGTGGTGGAGGCACCGTCCCTGGATATGTTCAAGGAAAGGCTGGATGTGGCACTTAGTGCCATGGTCTAGCAGATGTGGGGGTGTTAGGTCATAGGCTGGACTTGATGATCTTAAACGTCTTTTCCAGCCTTGGTGATTCTGTGATTCTGTGAAAACATCTGTTTTAAAAGTCCCATTGCAGTGAGACCCATAGGTCGTGTCTGTAATGCTTGCAATCACTGCAGTTTGTGGTAGAGCTCTACCTGTCACAGTGAAAGTACATCTTAATCTAAACTATTTATAAATATAAACTGAATCAGGGCTGAGATGTTAATGAACTGGCAGCTTCTGGAGGCCAGAGTAGGTCCAAAACTCTCTGAGCTAGAAACACAGGGTAAAAGAAAGGAAGGGACCATGCAGACTTTGTTGGTAAACGTGTGGGAGCTGGTGGGTGTAGCAGAAGGGGCAGGTCAGAGGATGAGCTTGTGCTCAGGCACACATAGAGGAGCCAGAAGGGTGGAGACATACAGGGGGAAGGGGGGCTTGAATGTGATGGAAACAGAGGCAGCCTACTCACAAAGATCCAAAGAAGAGAGGGGTGAGTGGGGTCACTGCTTTTTTTCCCAACAGCAGCTCCATTTGTAATCCCCTCACTGATTTATTTTTGTTTAGTCAGACTCTCAGTGATGTTGAGTAGACTTGGTAGGAGCTTATCTAGCATGAGGGTTTAGGAAAGACGGTGTCTGGAATCACACTGGTGATATTATTACATTGTTAATATTTTGTTTGGTTTATGAGATAGCATACATATGTTAGCTTGTCATTACCTTCCTCTCCATGCATATGATTTATTAGTTAAGGGCCACCATAAAATTATCAAGCTATCCTGTGAACAACAGCTGGCTTTAGTAAACACTTAGTCATCTTGGGTTTAAGTAAAAACAGACTTGAATTCAGCCCTGCATTAAGAATAATGAAACATGCTATGATATCCTTCAGCAGAGACTGCTGAGCTTGGCTGTCAGTTTAGTAGGAGTCAGTATTTACTGGCGTTCAGGGCAAACAGACTCTCCTCTGCTTGAGGGGGTAGGAACAGTACCTTTGAGCAAGTTGGTAAAAAGAGTGGTCCATAAGAGACTGTGAAGTTGGTCCCTTGTGCCCCTGCCTGCCATTTATTCAAACTGGATTTACAAATGAGTTTTTTAATTGTTAAGGCAAAAGCAAAAATAACAGCAAAGGAATAGAGAAGTGGTGGATCTCACCCATGTGAGTTTTACATCTGAAATATACCAGGTGGCATAACAATGAACAAACATACCTGTTTATACAGAAAGCAATTCTTGCTTCTCTTAACACAATCCTTATCACTGCCTCCAATCCACACTTGACAGCAGTTTTGAACAATGCTGACTTTTGAGCAATGTTGAACTTCAACAAGAACCAGTGTCAGGTCCTGCACTATGGTCACAACAAGCCCATGCATCGCTACAGGCTTGGGGAAGAGTGGCTGGAAAGCTGTCTGGCAGAAAGGACCCGGGGTGTTGATCAACAGCCATCTGAATATAAAAGCCAGCAGTGAGCCAAGGTGGCCAGGAAAGCCAACAGCATCCTGGCTTGTATCAGGAATAGTGTAGCCAGCAGGAGTAGGGAAGTTCTTGTCTCCCTGTACTCAGCACTGGTGAGGCTGCACCTCAAGTACTGTGTTCAGTTCTGGGCCCCTCACTACAAGAAGGACATTGAGGTACTGGAGCGTGTCCAGAGAAGGGCAACAAAGCTGGTGAAAGGTGTGGAAAGCAAACCTTATGAGGAGTGGTTAAGAGAACAGGGACTGTTTAGTGTGAAGAGGAGGAGGCTGAGGGGAGACTTTATGACTCTCTGCATCTACTTGAAAGGAGGTTGGGGGCAACAGGGGACAGCAGTGGGAGGGAGTGGTCAGTCTCTTCTCACCAGTAACTATTGATGCAATGAGAGGAAGTGGCAAGGGAGGTTTAGCTTGGATGTTAGGAAAAAACATCTTTATTAAATCCTGGAACAGGCTGCTCGCAGAACTGGTTGAATTACTATCCCTGAATGTACATAAAAATCATATAGATAAGGTGCTGAGGGACATGGTTCAGCA